CATTACGGTTTCGATCCTTTCTTAGGATTGAATAGCCGTCAATATGAACCAAGTTGTCAGTTATTGTAGAATCGAGTCTAGTCTCATTAACAGCTAGCAGATCAAGACACTGATCAGCCATAATTAGTCGAAGCTCTTCAATATGCAGCGGGAGACTAGCAACATTAATACTCGCAATTTTGAAGCCCTTTACTTTCAAGGCAGAGGTCATATCATCATAACAATTTGGTTCACATTCAGGCAAAAAACTGTTGACTTCTTTAAATCAATAACAATTACTAATATGATTCAAAATATTCTTAGCAAGTGCTGCGCTACCTTTCTGATTTAGGTGCAGGCCACTACTGTTCAGCATACTGCTTCCTATTTTGCTGTTGTCAATAAAACTTAAGATGGTCATAGGATGGTCATATGGTCATAGGATCAATGTATTGTGTACACAGAGACCTCGTCATTGTGGCTATTGCCTCACACAGCCTTGTCGATGACTGTTTAAAGGACTTGCAGGCAAGGATTCTTCTGTAGCCATTCGCGTCAACCCCAGACGGGCCTCCTGCTCCTTTTGTTCTCAAGGCAGCTTGCCTGACCATCTCTCCGTTAATCTCTGTATACACGGATTCCGGATATTGCTCATCAATTGGCCCGAAAAGCAGTGAACCTAATTTGGCTGATTGTGGATTGGGATGTTTCTGTTTTAACTGCGACATGACCTCATCTGTTAAAGACAACACACCACCACTAGTTGTTTCACTCAGGAAACGCAGAAACGCAAGAAACGTACTTTACTAAGTATTTAATACCAAAATTTTCCACAGCTTATTATAGTGCACTATTATAATAACTCCACTACCGGTATTGGAGTAATACCAAATTACTCTTTTCCTTTTCAAGATTTTGAAAATGATGAATTCCTAAAAACCATAGGCTCATGGGTTTATAACTCGGAAAATCGACTTTCTGGAAAAATAGACTTATACAGGGATATAGTTGTTTCACCAGACAAACATGACCCATTTAAGTGCGCTAATGATAATTACATTGAATCTCACTATTACTCAGTTAAAAAGTCTGGCAAAATATTTGATGACGCTAGTAAACAAAAAGGGTTTTCAATATTCCACTGTAATATTCGTAAATTGGGAAAAAACAAATCCTTGCTGCATGATATTTTAAGCACAGTTAAGACAACGCCAGATATCATTGCAATATCAGAGAGTAAAATTAATGAAAATATGAGTGCAAATTTGAATATTCCTGGTTATGCCTTTGTGAACACTAACTCAAAAACGCAGGCAGGAGGTGTTGGTCTGTATTTATCTAGTGACTTGAAATTTTCAAGAAGGAATGACTTAGATATCTCGGATGATGGAATAGAGTCATGCTGGATAGAGCTGGCACGTACTGCACAAAGAAAATATTGTAATAGGCTGTGTCTATAGACATCCTAAAGGTAACAGAGACCTATTTCATAGTATTTTGAAAAAAAACAATTAGAACAACTTAATACCAAAGGACACGAGGTGTTGGTCCTTGGGGACCTCAACGAGAATCTATTGAAATATAACGAAGATAAACAGGCCGTCGATAAAACCCGGAACACGGAACATCCCGGAACATCCCGGAACATCCCGGAACATGAAAAAATTAAAATAATTTTCATGAAAAAAAAAATATAAAAAATAATAATAATAAAATAATTTTTGTAAAATAACAAAAAAACGAAAAATAATGAAATAATCAAGAAAAAGAAACTGGTATCCTCTCTGAGTATGAGAAAACAATATTTTTTCGCAACAAATTAAAATTTGTTGGGCGAGTGAGGGTTCATGCAAATGACAGTAATGAGTGAAGGCTTGCTTCTAAATTCAAAACATATTTAAATGGGTCGCGAAGTCCAAAGCGACGAGCCCCTAAGCTCTTCTTACGGTCGCAAAGCCGTAAATGGATAACCGTTAAACCGCATGGCAAACATTTACAAGAGGTGGCTGTGTGACGAAAGCTTGAAAACCCTCTCCTCGCGACCCATTTTAATATATTTTGAATTTAGAAGCAAACCTTCACTCATTACTGTCATTTGAATGGAGCCTCACTCGCCCAAAAATTCATTGCGACAAAATATTGTTTTCTCATAGTCGGAGATGATACCAGTTTCTTTTTCTTTCTTTCTTTGTTTGTTTCTTTATTTTTCGTTTTTATGTTATGTTATGTTATGTTATTTATTTTGTTATTGTAAATTTTGCAAAAATTGTTTTCTATCTATTGTTCTTTTTATTTTTTATTATTATTATTATTAATATTATTATTTAATTAATTATTTATTTTTTCATAAAAAAATGTTTTAATTTTTTCATGGTTCCGGGATGTTCCGGGATGTTCCGGAATGTTCCAGGATGTTCCATGTTCCGCTTCTTAGCTTAGGTTTTATGCCAATTATTACCAAACCAACCAGAATAACGGACCATACGGCCACTCTTATCGATCATATATACACGAATACGCCCGAAAAGCTAATTAAATCTGGACTCTGCCTTGCTGATATTTCTGATCATCTACCAGTATTCTGTACAATGGCCAACACACTGCCTACAAATAATGAACCAAGGTTTTTTCGAGACTTAAGACGTTTTAATGAAAATGCCTTTCACCAAGATTTACTTGCAGTTGACTTCAAAAGCTTGATATCAACTGATGTTAATGAAAGTGTAACTACTATTGTAGACAATCTGAGCGCTATCACAGACCACTGACAGACCGTCATGCTCCTTTGCGCAAAAGATTCAACATGGCAACGAAAGCGTTTAGAAAGGCCTTGGATTTCGAAAGCAATAATGCACTCAATCAGACAAAGACACAAATTAGTAAAGACTAATTTATACAGTACAGACCCAGGCAAAGTAAAAGAGTATAAAGCATATAGTAATAAGTTGAATAGGATTATGCACGCAACTAAAAAGAATTATTTTTCTAAACAATTTGAACTGAACAGAGAAAATATAAAATGCACATGGAAATTAATTAGCAAAGTAATAAGAACAAAAAAAGAAAATACTCAACATACAATCAAGAAACTGCTGCGTGACAATAGAATTTATATAGACCACCAGAGTATTTGTGATCAATTAAACAGCCATTTTATAAATGTTGGAAATGGCCTAGCAGATAAACTACCAAAACATGACATAGACCCTTCACTGTATTTAGATAGAACTATGACACCAAATGGTTTTATGTTCCGTGGCATTTGCCCGACTGAAGTATATGACAAAATAATGAGTTTGAAAGAAGACAAGTCGGCATTAGATATTCCAAGCAGATGCATAAAATACGCACCAAATCATATATATGAGGCATTAAGTATGGTTTTCAATCAATCTCTATTGGGGGTGAGGAGATGGATCCTTTTAATTATGGACCTATCTCTACACTCTCTGCACTAACCCAAATTTTTGAAAAAATCATTTGTAAACAGCTTGTTAATTACTTGGAAAAGCATGAAATCCTATAAGAGTTCCAATTTGGCTTTAGAAAGGGACATTCAACCTCACAAGCCATTGCAGAAATTGCTGATAATTGACGCAATGCGATAGATAACAGTTTGTATTCCTGTGGCGTGTCTTTGGACTTTTCCAAGGCATTTGATACGGTGAACCACGCAATTTTACTTAAAAAAATTGAACGGTATGGGATCACAAATAGACAGCAATATTTACAAATGGGAAATACAGTTTTGTCAAAGCAAACAATGACGTGCGGTATTCCACAAGGGAGTTCCCTAGGCCCAGTATTATTTTTAATCTACATAAACGATTTACCAAACTGTTCAAATGCTCTAACATTTAGAATATTTGCAGACGATACAAACTTTTTTGCCTCAGCCCGCAACCTGAAAGATCTTGAGGAAATAGTTAACTCTGAACTTAAAAAAGTGAAAATATGGTGTGATGTAAATAGATTGTCAATTAATTTCACTAAAACAAACTTCATGATCATTAAATCGTCAAAGAAAAAAGATGACCAAGTAAATATCAAGATTGAAAGTGCAGATGGTACAATAAATGTGCTGCAAAGGAAGCAAAAAAATAAAATATCTAGGTGTCTTGCTTGATGAAACGATGTCTTTCAATCACCATATTTCATACATCTGTACAAGAATTGTGCGAAACAGTGGTATTATATCTAAGCCGAGACATTATCTAACTCTTCTACAAATGAAACAAATCTACTACAGCTTAATATACCCATATATCTCTTATGCAATATTAGCATGGGGGAGTGCATACAAAACACATGTTGATAAGATGCAAGCTAAGCAAAATCATTCTGCTAGGCTTATTTTCTTTGCCACCACTTATGGTGAACACCGCACAGAAAGTGCACTACCCCTGCTAGATTTATGAGACGTTCTTACGGTACATAATGTTTATCGATTTCAGATTCTAAAATTCACGTACCTCTGGCATAAAGGCCTCCTGCCAAAGCTGTTCTCAAACTATTTTCAATATGCCACTAATGTCCACAAATACAATACCAGATATACATCGAAACAGAATCTTTACGTAAAAAAAAGTGTGAACTAATATGGGGAAACAAACAATCAGATATGCTACATGTACCGTCTCGGACAAAATTCCCTTAACTCTAAAAAGAGCTAAACATATACCAATTCCAAAAACAGCTGAAACCTTATTTGCTGTCAGAACAACATAGTTAACATAACTTAAGCATATACTCTTTCTTTCTTAATACATTGTATTTTAAAACTGCTTCCTTGAAATAAATTCTATCTCAATTCTCTAAAACTTTAAATTCTGGAGAGCTGGCTAGAAAATCTTAGGATTATTTCAGCTCCAGGCCTTATTAAGTGCAAATAAATATTTATATATATATAGTTTTTTCTCTTTCATGTATGTAATTAAGTACAAGGCGAATAAAGGTATTGTTGTTGTTGTTGCGATGCAGGCGAGATTCTGGTCAGTTTTCAAGGTAGGTCAACAAGTATCTATAATTTTTTGGATTCACAGATTTTTTACGAAGTTCTAGATATTTTTCTAGATTGTCACATCAATTAACTTTTATCATGTTGAATGTGGGGATGTTAGCAGTGAATTTTGGTAGAAAATTTTTAAATTCCGGGATTCAAAACACGTGTTCCACTACCGGGTTTCGCGCAGACATGGCAGAGCCGTGTTATCACCTTTTTTCGCAAGAGCCTTTGCTGTTTTTCTTTTCAAGGTAAGCTTATTTATAGTCTTATGGATAAAATTAAAGATCATATAAAGCGCAACTCCAAGGTAGATACTAACCGCCTTGTTTCTGACACCAAATCAGGAAAGATTCATTTATTTTTAGATTCTTCAAACGTTTATCCACAGTTTAAAAAAAATCAACGAAAGAAGGCAAATTTCAACTGTTAATGATGTATTTCGCTACTCATTCAACACTGATAATCTGGCTTGGATTAATTTTAACCTTGCAGGTACGACAGCAAGCAAAGAAAGCACATGTGTGCTGGCGACACGAAACAAGAAAAATTATTAAATCTGAGCTACTTTTTATTCTTGTTCTTTGATTCTTTTCCTGTAGAAGTTAATAGGTGGTACCATTTCAGGAAATTTTCATACACTCTCAGGGCCGTAGTCAGAAAAAATATGGACTGAGGCAATATCCATGGTTGAATTCCCCGCCTAGCTGTTTAGGGTCTTCGCTAAATAATGTCAAAACAAACTTAAATTTTGGTTCGATTATTAAGAAGAACTGAAAGCATGTTATGAGTATGATGAGAGCATCTACTTACCGCTTTCTTTGAAAAAAGCTGTTGTTTAAACGCTGCATTTTGATAGATTTAATTCCTCACTCAGACCAGACTAGAGAAAAGGCGACAAAACACATGAAAACGAGGGAGTTTTCTTTGGGAAGCCGCTGTCTGGTTAGCATGAATATTTGCTTAATTTTTCTCATCTTGTATTTTCCCCACTGCCTGATTCGCATTATCATTAAACATAATACCATGTTGCGTTAACATTTTTGTTATTTATTTAACTGTTTGTGAATTTATTTGCTGCTAGTGTCTTTCTTTCTCCTTCAGAAAAAAAAAACTTTACTTTCCCCGAGAAAAAAAATTGACTGAGGCCTCGGTTTGCCTCATACTGGCTGTCTCTACGGCTATTTTTACACGGGACCAGTTTGCTTCTATCAAAAATCTTGCAAGCCATGCCACTGAAGCCACGACCTCTGCGACTGGTCTGGAATTTCGAACAACCCAACGATTCCTTGCAATGGATAATACTCTTATTCTCTTACATCAAATGTTTTCTTTGAGATAATGTGAAACCTAGACGAGTACTATTAGTACTGTCAGCCAAGCACGGTCATTGCACGCGTGCTGAACAAGAATGCTGTATCATGACAGACTAGAAACAATAGAAAAATCCCAAAGCATAAACTCAGCCAAAACGTTAAAAATCTTCAATGTTTACTCAAGTTTGGGCTTATAGAAGAAAATGTCACAGTTTGTCAATGATCATAAAATTCAAAATCCGGTAGTTAGCACGGGGGGGGGGGGGGCCTTGGGGATTTTTTTGGGGGGGTTAGTGCCGCCCGGGGCCCAAAATTGCCCCCCCTTTTTAAAAAAATTTTCCCCTAAAATGAAAACCCCCTTCTAAAAATGGCCAATTTTTTTTATCCCCGTTCTAAGATTTTC